GTTTTTATGTCTCTAAATTTGATGGATCAGATGTTATTTTCAACAGTAAAATGCAAATAATTCATTATTCATTTTTAAAAATTTGACATATACAAATTTCACAACGTTTTCTTCTCTATTAAACTTAGAAAGATGAAATATGATTCATTAGATTTGTCTTGTTAAGGTACATTGTATCTATTATTTTCATGTCTCTAGAATTGATAGATCAAAAGTTATTTGCATTTTACTGTTTTTAGACATTCAGCAATAACTTCCGATCTATTGAACTTATAGACTTGAAAATACTGCGGTTAGATGCGTCTCAATTAGACGAATCCAATGAATCATAAATCATTAAATTCTGATCACTGGACGTCGAAATAATGTGATTTAATGGTCACTTTTTAGAAGTGTCCGGATACTTTTGGCAGGTGGGTGTATATCACTAAAATTATTATAAATAAATAGAAAAAAATTCGGCATGAAAACTTCAAGTTTAGGAACACGTGGTCGCAATTTACATGTCTCTGGGCCGCATTATATAAATCTGACTAGAATTATGATAAATATAGTTTTAACCGGTTAACCGTCTTAACCGGTTCCAATCCCTAAAATTTCATATTTGCATCATGCTACAAAATGATTAAATGCAATTACAAACTGGGATTATTTTCTTATTAATTTTAACAAATAAATAAATAATAATAGTATGTAACAATTTAAAAACCTTGAGGGCGAAGTTGGAGGAATTTGTCCTCTAATTAATAACTATATAAAATTAAAAGAAAAATTCGACATGGCAAAGTCATTGACGTATATAAAGTGAATAATAATGTGCAAGAGGTTCCTTATATGATAAAATTTTATAGAACAAGAAAAATTTGGAATATTACCCCGTTTACCTACGGAAAACAATTGTTGTATGCGAATGTCTTATATGATTTGGAAACATTTTAGGTCATCAAGATTATAGTCAATGATACAGTATAAAGGGAAAGATGACATAATAAGGGTAAATTTATTTAATAGCAACTTCAATTTCCTTTTATGAATTTCATAATTTTTTAAATGTGGATAGATAAATATATATTATTAGGATATTATTACGGTCTCTTGGAACTTCAAAATAGTAATATAGGTAAATATTCTAAATAACAATATCGTCTAGTAATTTTTAACTGATAACATACATTCTTGGCTTATTTTCTTTATAGTGTACACTGAACTAGCACCTAAAAATATAATATACTTTCAAAAAGAGAAAGATGGTTGCACTGAAAATTGGAAGTTGATTGATTTGACTCGATAGAGACAATGCAAAAATCGTAACGAATTATCGGCTCCTGAAATTACAAGAGCATGCGAGAATGAAACAGAAATTAAGGCTGATTTTGCAACAGATATGTTTTCTTTTGGACTTGTTTTATATTTACCTTCTTGAAACAGATATTTTTTAAATCACGCATTAAATCTTCCAAATAAAGTGACGTCTTTATTATAATAATCAAACAATTTAATTAATTTAGCACTATTGGAATGGAAAGAGTGAAGTAGCAAACAAAAAATGATATTAATAGAAAACGTATTAATTGACGTTTACGGTTGTTCCGCTTATTTTATTTAAAAGAACTACTTGGTAAACTATATTAAGTAGAATATCATTGTAAAAATTTATGGACCCATTTTAATCCCGTTTTTTATTAGATAAAACTCGGATTATAAATAATGAACAAATTAATTTTTAATTATAAATGAACGTATAGAAAACAAAAATATGTACAAAGGTAATCAGGTTGATATCAAATGTATTTATATTTAGAAACATCATATGACGACGTAAAGTATCGACTATATATATCGTCAAGTAGGAACTGGAATATTTAGCTTTCTTAAATTATTAAAGACTATAACGAAATGCCTAAAAATAATAAGTAGTAAAATTGATAATTGTACAAAGTCGACGAGGCTTGACTAAAATTTTAAATGGGTAAGCGACTTTTACATTTCATAATTCATTAATTCGTTAATTAAATTGATTCTTTTGTTATTTAAAAAAAAAGTTGGTCAGGGTTAAACATGAAAAGATTCCAACGAGTGTTTGTTGTGGCTACTGATAAAAAGATTGAAAATCAAACATATTTAATATTTTTCGACTTCTTTTAATTCGATCACTATTCGACCCCCTGTTTTATTTTTAACATTGTATGTATTCAATTCTAGAGCATGGGTGTTATCAAAGTTTTTTCGTCTTTTATTTTTTTACGAAAACAATGAACAATGACACATTCCGGAACAACAGGTTACAAAGTTCTTCAAGTTCCTCAAATAAGGACCTTGGAAATCTCTGGTAAATTATAAATGATAACAGATAACAATAGCCGTTTCATATCAAGTCTGGATTGCGATCTCAAATAATAAATATTATTCGTTTTATTTATTTATTTTTATCGCATTTATTTCATCCAGATTAATTTTTTTCTTTCAGAATCTCTCAATACATATGAAAGCGCGAATCATTTTGGTAGATTAGTAAAATATGTTGAAGAAGTAACAAGAAAACGAGAGTGAGAGAACAAGAAATAAGCGTATTGAAAGGCAAATGAATTCGTCAAAACCGTCAAAGTTACCGAACCGTTTCATTCTAGTAAACATGTACTCGATAGAATTAATATTAATTCAAATAATCCTTGAAAGATATATCAAGGATGGTTGGACAAATGTGAGAGCCGTAATAAAAGGTACTGAAGTCAAGCGGCAGAATATATCATCTTATAATTCATGTCTTGACGTTATTAAAGGGTTGAATATGATGTCCCATGAATTTATTTAGTTTTATAACGTAAGATGATAAGATCATTTATAGCTTACAAATTTCGCGTATTTTATATAAATTTTCAATATTCGCTTGTAAAATAATCTGCATGAAACATTGTGTTCGCTCACACTTTGATATCTTGAAATAGTCACGCACAGCACACCGAAAGAAAAATGGGATCGTACGATACATAAATGATCAATTGACATAATATGCGAGTATGCGACCCGACACGTACAGTATAATCTGAAATGACACGTTATACCGAATTATGTTGAAATCCAAAAATTTTTTTAAATAAAAATCCCAATCAATATGATTCTTGCTCACGTAATGATTTATAAACCGTGCTAATAAATTTTAATATCAAAATTTCTATTATAGTACTTGAAGTGTAACGAAAAAGAGTTATTTAACAAATCAAAAACTGAACACAGTATCGCAAGTGCACAAAAATCGAAACATATATCTTTGTGAATTAAAAGGTAAATAACGCTTATTATAACATGATTTATCTATTTTATAAATCAAGCTTGGGAGTCATTATTATCCATTACTTGAGAATTCCGAATTCATCTCATGTTTACAGTATACCTGTATATAACAACAAAACTTCCATAATATCGAAACTTATTAATTGCATTTTTAGGTATAAAGAAACTTCGCGCCTATCACATTAAACTGAGAAGATATTATCAAAGAAAAATGTTCTAAAGAACAGGAATTATTTTTATTTATTTATTTATTTACGTTATTTATCAAAAATGTATTAATAGCTCATTTTTATTTCTATGAACAAGTAGAATTCAATAGTCAAAAAGTTATTCATTTATTTTTTTTTTCTTGAGGATTATTTTATAGTCATAGTATGCTATCAAAATTTTCCACGATATGGATATTTGGTAGTACTAAAATTTTAGTAATTTTAAGCGTCCATTGATCAAGATTTTTGTGATGCGATTCATGGCTTCAATGAACTTATGTTTTTGCTTTCGTTAAGTAGTACTGGTAGCTTTTCCAATTTCCATATACTGTATCATTTACTCCTTTCCCCTTAATTTCATTTAATTGGTAGTTTTGATCATGTGATTTAGTGTAAAATTTTTTTTCAATTGCAATTTTTTACGCAAGAATTAAATTAAAAAAAAAACAAAGAAAAAAATTATTTTTTATTGAGATGGATACTAGTACATTTATTTATCCAAAATTCGCAGAAGAGTTGATTTAATAATCTTTGCATTAGCAATATTCAAAATTTTTTAATTATGATTTATGATTTATACCTAGTTTTTATTAAAATCTCTTAAAAAGTACCCACTCGCGCTTAAACTTTGATCATGAAAAATAATTTGATTACATTCGATTTTTGACCTCACTTAATGATACGCCCCATTTCTCGTTCAATGATTGAAAAAAAGCATTACTCTTTTTTTATCACTAGAACTTAATATTGCGATCATCGAAAACCCAAGAGGCAATAGTACTAGATGAATATTGTTGTATCAGAACATCAAACATAATGGCAAATTATACCACTGCGAATTCATATAACTTTCATTGCCAGAATATCGTAAAAAATGTCACGTGCCTTAGCGTAAAACTTTCTTTTAATTGGTGATGGCGACGGTAACCGAATTATTCATAATTCATTTTTCATTTCCAGTTTGTTTAACCTTCCGAAAGAATTCAATTTTGTACTTGATTCAAAATTTGATGAATCAATAATCATAAACAATATAGAGACAATGCCGTCCGGGGTCGCTTTCATTTCTTTTCACCGAAAATTATCTCACCGACGGACGTTTCACTGACAGAGTCATTTTGCAGACAAATGTTTCACCAACAATCATCTCACCGACAAGGGAATTTAGGATTAGAGTTAGGGTTAGGTAAGGAATTAGGATTAGAATTAGGATTAGGAATTAGGATAAAGTTAGGATAGGGTTAGGATAAGTGGATTAGGTTTTCATTATCGGCCATTCTGATTTGCTTTTTCCATTAATTAAAGGTTCTTCATGATTAGCGCTTTTTTCGGTTAGGTTATCTAAACGTTGTGTGAGATTTGAGATTACGTGCCAGTTTTCGTATGGTACATCTATACCGACACACCAAAACTAAGAACCTGGGTACATAAAAAACCAACCGGAGAAGCTACTATTCTCTCCAAATAACTCCTTCAACTTCTTAGACTACTTAGTTATTGTCAGTAACAATGATGATATCTTCGACAAGACATTTTGTTGTCTACTGGAAGAATTCTTCTCTGCATAATTAACCTTCTTGAAATACGGGGTTTAAGAATATTATATGATATTAAAATGATTTATGTATATGATTCTATGGTAGATAGATTATAATAACTACTATATACTTTCTATCTATACTTGATGACGTCATGTCCGGATGTCCAGAAACTGAACCTATGTTCCTTTACTTCATTAGATAACAGATTCCGTAATTTAACCAGACAATGTATTCAACTGGTTGATACTCATGAGTTTAAAAATTCTACATCAGAAGTTATCGGGAATATTAAAGTTAGGATTAGACTGAATAAATATCAATCATCATAATAATCGTCGTGTTAGAATTGATCGATGAAAATGTCGAACAAAAATTCTTAAAGCTGTTTAGTGCGTGTAAAGCTAATTAATAAATTTGAAGAGCCTTTAAACCATTCAAAAATTATCATATGATTAGGTATGTGTTGATTTCTAATTCCTAATTCTGCTAATTATTGCTTAAAACTCATTCTCTTCTTCAGCTCTTCTTGCGTTTCTACAATTTTACCAATTTCGTTATCAAGTTTCTGCTATCCTGAGGGAAACTTTGGCAGGAACCAGCTACTAGATGGTTCGATTAGCCTTTTGCTCCTATACCCAAATTTGTCGATCAATTTGCACGTCAGAACCGCTACGAGCTTCCATCAGAGTTTCCTCGACTTCACCGTATTCAGACATAGTTTACCATCTTTCGGGTCCTAGCAACCCAATTAAAAAGTGTAACAAAAGCCTTATAATTTGATAAAAGCTTTAATTGAAGTTATTAATAATAAAGGAGACTATATGGTAGATCCTTGTGCGGAAAGTTTTGTCATGTTAGAGATTTTGTAAAGAACTAAAAAAGGGAGTTTGTGGTGTGTTATTTCCCTGTGTTCGTCATAAATATGACGTTCTTCCATACGAGAGTAAAAAAGAAAAAACCAATTGGTTCTGTTGGTAGAGGACATTCAGGTGGGAGAGGTTGTGCATGGAATCGATTTTCTATGCTCTTTTCTCACTTTCTCATAATATAATTTATTAAATTAAATATTTCTATCATTCAAATGATGATTTATTCTCATTACAAATATTAACATTATTAATACCATAAGTTTTATTAGATTTATTGTCTTCGATTATATTTTTATTAGTTACGTAAAAAGGAACGTGCGTAAAACAAAGGGATTGCTGCTCTACACGAATGATGAAGATATTTTAAAATGTAATAAATAAAATCGTCTGGTAAACCAAAGAGAAGTGGTAAGTGGTCATTTTGTGGAAGGAAATTCCACAAATAGAAGCGAAAAAAAAATTGACTTTTTTTCTTCGTATATGTATGTTCAAAGCCGGAATTTTTTTTTAATTTTTTTTTTCAAATATTAAATATGTAATACTTGTGGCTTATTTGTAATACTTATATTTGGATGACAATATTCTGAATTCTTTAGAATCTCATATGATATTTTGATTTATTATGTTTACTTGATAATCTAAACTTTAAAAGCTAAGCTTAGTTTCCACAAACAATACTATTTCACGGATCAGTCGGATCAGCCTCGATTTCATGGCGGAGCCGTGATGATCAATGATATCTACAGCTTCCTGTAAACTTTAAGCTTATCCTTTCAAATAAACATCACTTATAAATAAGGAAACGTGATATAAATTAATTAATTATGGTTAAAAGATACGTCCTTTGCATCATATGATTGCGTCAAATCATGGGATGTATAATAATTATATTTGAATATGTAAATTTATAATTTTCTAAATAATTTTATAAATTTAAATAAGATGGAATGGGAAAAGATAACGGTAGAGGTAGTACAGACAGTTGCGATGAAAACGGGTATTAATACAGAGGAACAGTATATTATGGATGAATTAGACACCGAATATTATTTAATCGGAGAAGAAATCATCAAAGCAGCAGAGAAAAATGAACCGATTAGGAAATTTACATACGGCTTTAAATGATGATTTCACAAAACGTTTAAAAGATGAAAATAAAAGTGTAGACGAGAAGAATTTGAATGAAAAAAGGCTAAAAATTAGCCCGCCAGCTAAAAATTCAAAACCGTTGAAGAATCAAGAGTAAAACTTTTATTTTAAGTCACGTGATTTCATGTTAAAAATTTTCAAAAAGCAAATTTTCTATTATATGCTTCAAGTTTTATTTTAGATGTGAGGATTTTCGATTTTCGGAACTTAGTACTATTGAGAGAAATTTTAGAAACGTGAAGACGCGCTGTTCAATTTCGATAACGCTTCAAGTGGACCTATAAAAAATTTTATCCGTTATTTCTGTAAAAATTCCGTCTTTCGATAAATTCCGTGATATAAGGTTATTAATTCGAGCTTTTTACGGAAAAAAAGATGGAATATAAAAAACGGATTGATTTTTTACAGGGATTAAGCAACTGGAATTTTTCTAGCAGAGTAATGGGTTATTGGTATTTTATTTTTTTTATCATACTTTATTTTTTTACAAGTCTCGAACATATACACTTTATACAAACGTACAAAACAAAATACCTATTTATAAAAAACTACTAACTGTACTATTACTAACAATCTTTTCTAGTAACCCTCTGAAATTTTTCCCTATTGTCTCTTTTTCCTTATTAACGCGTTTCTTAGTCTCATTACCTCGCTATTATTTTTTTGCTAAAAGACGCATTTAAATTTTCAAATTCCTGTACCTTATTTACTGTCAACTTTTCTTCAACTTTATTTGATCATTTACCCTTTTTCATTTCACTTCCACAACCTTCTCCAGTGTTGCATGATCCGCTAACTTTTTTGTAGGGATGTTAGGTATTACTTCGTTCAAGAGATCTTGCCTATACTTATTTACCGTATCTACTACTTCTTCTTCGTCTGATATCGAACTATTACTTTTACTGACCTCTTGTTGATTATCACAACTATTCATTCTTTTTGAAGCTGTTAAAATTTTTGAACCTAGGCGAAATAATCCATGATCTAATACAACCTTCCTCTACTAATGTTTTTGCTACCATTTCTGCTAACTTATCTTCATCTTTAAAGTATTTTACTCCTTTAATCCTTATTATCTTACCAAAAATATATAATTAAGGTTGCAGGCAAAACTCCATAATAAAAATAATAAATGCGAAACTTGGTAAAACTTATATTAAAAACTTAATAATAAATTGGTAAAACCTAACTATAAAAATTATATGTAATGACGAAACTATAATAAATTCTTATAAAAAAATTGTCGAAACTGAGGTTTAGATGTTTTTCCAAATTCAAAAACTAGTTTAGCCCGCAACTATATTAATAAATATATTCATACTTTGAATAATAATTGATCGTCTTGTAAATCTTTTAAATCATCTTGTACTACTTTGTACGCAACTCATCTTCTGACAATTTAACGTCTGCCGGTATTATTTTATAAAACATATAATGTCCATTCTTGAGCTTTAGCGTCACACTTGTACCCGTCAGCGCGATTCCATACCCATCATTTCCTTTTTTTTGCGATGGATTTCTACTTTTACCGACTGATACTTGTGTTGTTTCTTTAGTTTTATACTTCTAATAAAACCTCATGGTTTTATTTTTATTTTTCATTTACGTTTAGTATGGCATAGATTCTTTTAGATAGATGCGTTAGTTGTAAAAGTGCATTATTTTACGGAACGGTGTACTTTTAGGTTATTTCTAACGCTAATTTAATATGTATCTATGTTATACATTTAATAAAGAAATGCGTTATAAGCTTAAAAAAAAAATCTTGTAAATTCGAATACCTTTGAAGCAAGTATTACATTTTCAATAATCAAGTATTTAGGAGCACCTTTAGAAAGTATAATAATTGACACTGTAACAATCTCTCACTTTTTTGCCTTGAAAATATACACACGTCAGCGCGTTACCGTAATCGACTTAACGGATCTAATATGTTGTATACGGTCACCTTTAAATCTTGAAAGAATTTACTTCGTAAGAATTTTCATTTAGAAGGAAATAACAAAAGTGCACGTCCAAAAAGTAGTTTTGAGTGAGCTATAATAATAAATACTTGTTTATCTGAATATGAAATTATTTAAAATATATGATATAGGAATTATTCTTGGCATTTTTTATTTAGTAATGAAGATGTATTGTTAATAGCTCATTTTTTTTATTTCAGAATTGCTATATAATATGGGATAGATCCAATTAGCGATATTGATGATATATTTTGTAATTTATTTTTAATTTCATTTTTATAGATATTTCCAGGAAAGCGAGAGAGCAAAAGAAATAACTTGACGCTTCAGTCAGGATCAACGTGCTTGATAGCATTATCCACTTTTTACTGAAAAATTAACAAAGTTTCATATAAGCTAAATGAGCTGGAGTTAACCATCCGCTTGATGATAATCATATTGCCTGTACCGAACACGAATGATAATACGTATTTAGTCGTATTATGTATGTTGTTGTATTATGTATGTCGTTGTACTGATTGTGCAACATTACGTAATCGTTTTTTTTTATGGCACATTTTTAAATTTGGGTTTAAGATTCATACAACGATAAATCAAACAGACGAAATGCCAGCTCGCAACATCCTGAGCCAGTAGTTAAAACGTGTTTCTCAGGGATTGATCTATGCAAAAGAGACACTGTTCAACGCTCCGAACGGTCAGGTCATTCCATAGGGTGTTCTTAATAGTAATGCGATCTAATCACACGCACTCGTTTGACATCATTTTGGTTATTCGCAATCAAATATAAATTATAAACTTTTTAAGAGATCAGGTGCCCGCTGTGGCGGGACATATACAACAAAATACAGATAGCAATTGTTCAGTCGAAGAAACTATTCACACAGGACCGGTATAATGAATACTATTTATTCGTTAAAATTTTTAGCTATGAAAAAGTTAGAAAGATATTGAAAGATGAAGAAACAGAATTGTTGGATCAAATTAAGGCAAGAGCAGTAACATTATTAAATTTTACTAGTATACATCATGAATGTATTCCACTTACTTATGATTTAATTTGAATAAATAAATATTTCTATAATAGAGTACTTTATTATCATTTAAAAATGGCAATATATTCGTGAAGATTCGCTAATTTAACTCGTTTATTTTCAACTACATCCTTCATAAGTATTAGAAATAAATTTCTGACTGGTATAAACAGATCATCACGGGTTAACGATAAGTTGTTGAGAGGTACTAACTCAGGCAATGGATTACACATTATAAATATCAAGCTTCCCATCATTGTCGCGTTTTTGAACAACCCTTATTATTATCCATTCAATACCTGGTATTAGAAATAAAAAAGAGTTAATATATTCGCGCTTTTCTCATTTAATTCCTTTAAAATTTTCATACCTGTTGCAATACAATATATACTGCAAGAGCTCTTCCTACAAATTGATTCGCAGCTACACCTCCTATGGCACCATTATTCATAGCATTGATAGCAGCGAAGGTGGCAGCACCTGTATTATCCTGAATGTTCGCGCATTCCAAATTTTTTCCTTTAATATGAGTTTCATAGTCATAATCCAAATTAGCATCATCGTGAGTGCGTTTTTTGATATTGTATTGAATAGATGCATGTGCTTGGACGGTAGTTAATATCATTTTTTTTTTCTTCAGTCACGTAGATGATAATATTACCAACTCTTATAACCCGTTCAATAGGACCTTTATCATGAGTTGATACTCTGGATGAATCTTTATGTCACCATTGGAGGTTGATGCTACACCATAGATAATTGATGAAATAAATTCGCCTCATTTACGTCGTACTAAACGGTTGTTCGCTGTTAATGTAGAGCCAACGATCAGACACGGACATTTGATAAACGACTTAAATATTTGAACTACTGCTTACATGTATCTACGGAGATATACACGGTACGGTTAGTATTCCAAATAATGCTCACTAGAACATCATCACTCACGAGTACCTTACGACGTAAGGTCCTTACGTCCTGTCGCGCTTGATGCAGTGACAGCTGCACCCTCCACATTTTCCACATCGACCGTCATACTCATATCTATTCGATGGAGAATTTTTACCTTTACTTGTTTTTTTTGTTTTTTTTACTTTTACCTATTGATGTCGTTTTCTTCACGCTATTTATCACACGACTTATGAATCCTCGTAAAAGGAAACAGTTCCACACCACCAAATTCATCCGTACGTTAATCATGAGATATCAATATTTTTAAAGTAATATAATAATATAAAATTTTATTTATATAAAAAAAATATAATAAAAATATAATAAAAAAAAAAATGATAAATAAATAAGTATTCTAAGGAATTTTCTAAAGAATTTTTCTATATAATTTATAATTTAATTATTTTTATTCCTTTCTCCTTAATTTCATTATAATTTTTCAAATCTTCAACATCCAATAAAACTACTCTTTTCATTCCAATTATATTCAAAACTTCCAATCTATTAATATCATTACTATTAATATAATCTAAAATTATTTTAAAAGAATCCGAACCAATTTTACCATAATGAAATTTAACCTTTCTTAAATGACTATGAGCGTTTTCAAAAAATGTTTTAAAAAAATGAAGAGATTTTGCACGATCATGATTAAGAAATTTCAAAGTAATATTATCAGTACTAATAGATAAATTATTTGCTAATCTAGTAATCATTTCACTAGTATAAGTACCAAAAGACAAAGGAATATTAATAATTAATTTCTTTACTCTAATTTTAAGAAAACAAGGGAATATTAAATAATCAATTTTGTTATAATCATAAATTGCTATTTTTAATTTCATAAGGTTTGAACAATATTTTGAAACCCTTTCTAACATAGGAACAGTTACAGTACTATGTATTGATAAAGAAGTTAAGGAAGGACCCAAATATTTGATTAACATAGGTTCAACACTTTCATCCCAATGATTTGATCTAAATTCTAATTTTTGAAGTTTGAAAGAAGCGGATTGTAAAATATCATAACGTCTCAAAGGATCATCATCACTACAATTACTAAATTTTAAAAATTTCAAATTATGTAAATCTATAAAATTATCCAAAGAAATTTCACTAAAATCAACACAAGATAATTCAATAGAAATTAAGGATTGTTTTTGATATTCTAAGGATGAAATTATTTTATCATTAAATAAGTGTTGAGTAATAAATTCTTCAAGTTTTTTTTGTTTTTGAATGATTGTACAAAAATTTTCTACAAAAATTGGTTCATTATTTGTTGTTGAAAAATTGATTCCTTTTAAATTTGAACAATGTAATGTTAAATTTTTTAAAAGTTTTTTCTCAAAACCTTTTAATGGTAATAATAAAGCTTCTAAATCTGCAAAATTTTTGGTAGAAGTAACTTTAGGTTTAATAAATGAATCTAAATTAATAGTAAATTGTTCAATATTATTACACCTGTTTATAATTAATTGATGAAATAATGGACAAAAATTACAAATTATTTTATCCTTTTGAGTATTATAATAATTTAAAACTGTAAAATTCATGAACCATCTAAAAATTGTTAAATTTATAGCTTTATAATTATAAGTTTTTAAAAATCTTGAATAATCAAATAATGTTGTGTAATCTTTTTTAATTTTACCATAGCTTTCATATCCGCAAAACTTCATTGAATCTTCCAATCTTGAAATTTCTTCTTCATTAAAACTTAACATATAAGTCATGAGAAGTTTTTTACCTTTTACGGGGAAAGGGCTTTCGTAGAGAAGAGGTATCGCTGCTCTACACCAAAATCTATTCACTCTGGCGCATTTATATAATGTGGAGCGATCATTTCTAAGTTGTTTTAAAATGTAATAGATGCAATCATCTGGCAAATGTGGGATATGTGGGACAGACATTTTTTTTTTTTTTTAGAAGAAAGTTTATAGAAAGTATGAGTTATATGAGTTTATATGAGTTATAAATATAAAAGTCAAGGAGTAAAAAAAATTATTGAGATAGGAGTAATACAAATTTGGATTTAGCGGAATAAAGAAAAAATGGTGACATTTTTATACAAAAATCATGTAATACATGTGATTTATTTGTAATACTTACACAAAGTATATTAATCTTCTGATTTCAGATTGAATGACATTTTTTTGTTGGCAATTTCCGGTAATATTTTTCTAAGCAAAGAATTTCTATTGTCCCGTAAAAATATGTATCGTTTCGTATAATGATTGGGCAATTTACGGTAATATATTTCTAAATCTAGCATTAATGGACCCGAAAAAAATTGATCTTCATCTTTATATCTGACGTTATAATTGTATTATATGATAAAGAATTTTAATGATTTTTTATGGGATAAATTTAAACGTGAAACAAAAATATTGTAATTATTGTACAACATGAACATTGTTATAAGGTTTTTTAAACCAACAAAATGAAACATCATGAAAATCATTACTAATTTGAAAATGTTTCAACGTTAAATTTTTTTTTTTTTGTTTCAAAAACATTTTATTTCCTTATTCTATAAAATTTAGGAAAAATATTTAAATATTTAATTTCTTTTTATAGGTATGTATGACAAGATAGAATCTTTATGGGTTAATATAGGTAAAACAAATAAATATTATTGTTAATATTTACAATTAACTGAAACCAAGTTGTTAAAAATTGTTTTCATTATAGAATAATACCAAATTTGTCTCCTTGTAATAAAATTTAAAACTTTCAATAATGGTTTGCTTCATAAAATTTTTCGTTTCTAATAATAGAATATTATAAAATTATATTATCTTTATGATTTAACAGGTTAGTTTGATTATCTTTTGTTATATTTTTTTATATTCAATATATGTCATAACTACTAATTTCGATTACAAGGATTACAAAGCCAGCCCCGCACAGCCGTACCGCCACACGCTTCGGCCTTTCGGTCTTTCGGGACGAAATGGATCATCTGACACTGTGCGACAGAATCTACCGTACAAAAGTGTTTCAAAAAAAAATTGGGGCTTTTTTTCCCGTCTCTACTTTGTGGAGCACCTTTTACTCTATAAAATATTTTATTGGTTGATATCAAATTATATGCCACAGTGAAAACGCGGTGGGGCGTGATACCGGTGAGAAACTTTGCCATTCCAACTTTACGTTTTGTAAACAAGAACGTTATATAATAAACATATCATGAGGCTCAGTTCTCGGGAAGTTTTTGTTGTTTACCTACAAGTATATAATTACTTACACGTATATAATTACCTACACGTATATAATTACCTTCACGTATATAATTACCTACACGTATAGTTTGCGAAAAACTTATCTTCCCGAATTTTTTTTTCAAGGTGAGAATTGATTTGGAACGAGGTTAGTTTCGCCCATTATGGGATGTTGTATTTAGAACATGAAAAACGACAGATTTACTTTAATTTTTTGTGATCTATTCAATTTTTTTTTTTTTTTTACTCTCAGAGTTACAAACACGATTCGAAATGATGCGATCACAGACTTTTGATTATTTTATAATTCCTACATCGCATATCCATCAAATAAGTGGAATTGATCAAATAACCTGGAGACACATGTATGTTGCAAAATTTAGTAGAGTAATTTTTTTTTTATTTCGTAAAATAGAATTATTCGCTTAGCGTGGTCTAGTTTATCTGATTATCTGATTATATCTTTTTTTTCGTGGTGCTAGAGCGCGTGGGTATTCAAGATCATATTCTCCATGAAGAAATTAAAAATCTACTTTTTAATACATATTCATCAAATGAATTCTCAAGAAATGAATGTTTAAAAAGTGTGCTACAACCTGAGAATTAGAATTCGACAATGTCTCGGATTATTATATAACAGCAAAGATTATTTATCGTATGGAAAAAAGCCGAGATTTATCAACCACGTCTAAGTGTGAAGAAAACTTCGCGTCTATCACGTGATACTGCTGAACGTAAAATAATTAGGAGGATGAATGAATATAAAGGTATAGGAGCTATTCTTGGAAAAGAATTTTTTTTTTTATGCAGTCATGTTATTCATTGAAAATGTACTCAGCTCATTTTCATTTCAGGATTTCTGAGGATCAGGAATTTGCCGATTAAGAGTATTTAGTATAGAGGTAGACCACAGTCAGTAGCATAGACGTATTTTATAATTTGTTCTTTAATACCAGTATTACATATGAAGGATTACAATATGAAAGAAAATTGCGTTTAAGTGTGAAGAAACTTCACCTCTATCATATGATACTGCCGAACGTGAAATAATTAGGAAGATGAATGAATCTTTTTATACAAAATTTCACATCGAAATCAATTAAAATGAAGAAAAAATTTGTAATTCGCGACCGATTTAATTATACGGAATTTAAAAAAGACGTTAAAAAATCTTTAAATTTTAATACTTTAATTAAAAATTTATTTTAAAATGTAATGAATCTGATTGATGGGGGAGGTATTCATAAAGGTATAGAACTATTCTTGGAAAATTTTTTTTTTATACGGTCATGTTATTCATTGAGATGTACTCGCACATTCTAAGATTTCTGAGCATCAGGAATTTGCAGATCAAGAATATCCGGTATAGAGATGGAGTAGCATAGACGTATTGAGGTAGACACAGTCAGTAGCATGGACGTATTTTATAATTTGTTCTTTAATACCAGTATAAGGATTACAATATGAAAGAAAACTGCGTTTAAGTGTGAAGAAACTTCGCGTCTATCATATGATACTGTTGAACGTAAATAATTAGAAAGATGAATGGTATAGAAGTTATTCTTGGAAAATTTTTTATTTATGTCATGTTATTCATTAAAATGCACTCACAGCTTATTTTCATTTCAGGATTTCTGAGGATCAGGAATTTGCAGATTAAGAGTATTCAGTATATCGTGGTGAAGTAGCATAAACGTATTAAGGTAGACCACAGTCAGTAGCATAGACATATTTTGTAATTTGTTCTTTAATATACCATTACACATGAAGAATTACAATATGAAAGAAATATCATTTATTCACGTCTTTTAGTTAATAGATCGTAATATGTAATTACAATCCTATGAAAGGAAGTGACAGCATCGGGAACAATGCCATGACCCTATTCCACTCACAAACTTTTATTTACCAAAATGGGTTCCTGCAGACAAATTATTACACGCGTAGTAATACCGCTTGGAATATACTCTGGCAATATGGTTATTGTTTAGAAAGTTGTAATTTCTTTCCTCGTGCGTGATGGTGGTGTAGTTGTGTGGTGTGATCTATGTGATGGTGAATCCCTATGATCTCAATATATTGTTTAAACCTTATCATCTTAGAAATAGGACTTTTGATTTCAAACATATTTGATTTATTATATTAGCATTCCCCTTTTTTATGAAAAATTTTTAGGAATAAGATAATAAAATATTAACGTTGTCCGCGAAATGTTTAATTATTTTAGCAAATAATCTATCTATTAATGTCAAAGTAATTAAAATAATTTCTTTCACGTAATCGATTGGAAAAAATTAGTTTAAATCGTGATCTTTTTTTGAATCAGAATTTACATAATGATAATGTCTCAGTCGTATTAATTACGTTTAAGTATAAAAAAACTTTGATCATCACATGATACTGAACATGAAATTATTAGGAGCCGAGTACTGCAAGTCCAAAAAAAAATATCAAGATCTTTATATGTATCAATGATATAGAGTAGGGCACTTGCAGATTAAAAAGATTCAGTAGATGACCCTATTAGTAATATAGAATTTAATGTACCGGGACGGGATACATTTTACATGAATGGATTACTTTTTTTTATTTTCTGGCTGCTATATATTAAGTTTCGTTGTAAAATTAAGAAGTTGTTGTAATTCGTTGATATAAGGAGGTAATTTCATTTTAGCAAAAGCAGCATCATCACCAATCATTAGCCATCATCATTTATTATCTAATTCCCATGATATAGCTTTATTATGATTTATGATTTTAAGGAAAGACCGATATTCATGATGTAATCCTCGATCATCTGGAATATAGTGGATTCAATTGATCACCGAATACGCCATACCTACATGTTCTACCACCGAATACGCCATACCTTTTTTATGTGATCTACCATCAAATACGCCATATCAGCCATTTCAATTCTTGGACCGTTGATCGCTTTATATCCGCTTTGCACATGTACAATGAATCTCTAACAAGATCAGCAAATACATCTATATACGACATTTATGCTATAGATATTTGAAATTACTGCACATCATGATGATTTTATGACAACTTAGCAAACTGAATGAATACGTACGCGAAAATTTTTTCAGTTTAAATCGGGAGGGGATCGGGTTCTAATCTTCTAACTAAAACAATAATAAAAGTATCGCCCGAATATTTTAACGTTCGTGTATACGTGTATTTACGTGTGTATACGTGTATGTCTATTTTTTGACGTTGAAATTATTAATATTTTTATTTATAAAAAAAAATGATAATACATAAATTTCCTAAAGTATTTCATAATTTCCTAAAGTAATTCTAAAGTATTTTCATCAATTTCCCTAAAGTATTTCAGAAAAAAACTTAATAAAATTCTATTACTATTCTTATTCCTTTAGCTTTAATTTCGGTTAATAATCTTAATTCCTCCTCATTTAATATTCTTTTTGCACTAATAAAATTTAAAAATTTCAAACTATTATTACTTTTTTCTATATAATTTAAAATTACCGTAAGAAATTCGGAATCAATAAAATTATAACCTAAACTAAAGTTTAAACAAATTTTTTCCAAATGATTATGACAATTTTCTAAAAATGATTTAAAAAGTAATTGATTACATCTAGAATAATGTAAAAAAGAAAATTCTTTAACATCAATAGACAAATTAATTGCTAAATTAATAAAAATATCATTAATTCTACCATCACCACCATAAGAATCAATAATTAATTTTTTGATTTCTAAATTTTTAAAATATTGAAATACTAATAAATCAATATTTTTAAAATAAAGAATTTCTATTTCTAATGTAATAAGATTTAAACAATATATTAAAATATTTTCAATCATAGGAATTATCATAGAACTTTCACCTATTAATAAACTTTGTAAAGAAGATCCTAAATATTTAATTATTGTAGGTTCAATAGTTACATCCCAAACATTCATCTTAAATTCCAATTTTTTAAGTTTAAACGTTGCAAATTTTAAAATTTCATATCTATCTAATGGATTGATATCTTTACAACTAACAAATTTTAAATATTCCAAATTATATAAATTTATAAAATTTTTAAAAGAAATATTACGAAAATCAATATTTGAAAATTCAATATGAACTAAAGAATTTTTTTGAAATTCTAATGAAGAAATTAAATTATTATCCAATAAACATAAACTTGATATTTTAAATTCTTTAAGATTATATTGATTTTGTATAATTTTAAAAAGGTTTTTTCTTATAATAGAAGAAACATCAAATCTTAAAAAAATTTCTAATTTCTTTAAATTTAAACAATGATTTGATAAATTATTTAAAAAATCCTTTTCAATTTCTTGATCCAATTTTTCTAAATTTAAAAAATGATTTGATGAATTATTTAAAAAATCTTTTTCAATATCTTGATCCAATTTCTTTAAATTTAAACAATTATTTGATGAATTATTTAAAAAATCCTCCTTTTCAATTTCTTGATCCAATTTCTTTAAATTTAAACAATTATTTGATGAATTATTTAAAAAATCTTTTTCAATTTCTTGATCAAAATTTTCTAAATTAATTAATGTTAAAGAATTTAATTTTGTTAAATTTGTTATTGGTATAATAAAATTAGGATTAGATTTAATAAATGAATGATAATCAATATTAAATTGTTCAATATTATTACAATTATTTAAAATTGATTGATGAAATATTGAACAAAAATTTTTATAATTTTTATGATTTTGATTATAAGAAAAATTTGAAGGACCTTTAAACCATTCAAAAATTGTGGAATCTATACCATAATAATTATAATATTTTAAATATTTTGGATATTCAAATAATGGGTTATATTCATCTTTAATATTCATATTTCTAATAAGTTTTAATTGATTTTTTAATTGTAAAATTTCTGTTCTATTAAAACTTAATATGAAAGTTAAGATTACATTTTTATTTTTTCTGATAAAGGGATTTGCGTAAAGCAAAGGAATTGCTGCTCTACACCAAAATCGATTAACCAATATACAATTGAATAAAGATGAATGATAAGTTTGAAGATATTTTAAAATATAGTAAATACAATCGTCTGATAAATAAGGAGTAGTCATTTTAAGGAAAAAGTTCACAATTGAGAAAAAGTGCGAAAAAAAAAAAAAATTTGCTCGGAAAACTTGTTGTTATAAATATAGAAATATGTGCAACACATGTGGAATACCTATAACCTAATTAAGTATAAAAGCTTGCAGGAATCTACGGGATTTTATCATGATCGGTCCGATTTACTTAAATAGTAATGATACAGTAATAATGGATCAGATGACAACCGCAGTAATTACGTGATGATTTTCCTAGCGTAACGTGAAAAAAATGTCACGTGACATTTTTTCATCACCAGCGTCTCACCCTTCTTTGTTTTCCTTTTTTCATAAGTATCTAGGGGATTTGAAATTTTTTTAGTACAAAATCCTACTCAACACGCACTATCCATCACATGTGCGCTACACTTAATTTCAGTCAAGTTGCATAATGCCGGCCATTTCGCGACATTTTTTTCAGGTTACGAGGTTACGATTGGGTAGTCTTAGGGGGATTCCTTAATGTACAGCGAGGGTGTACGATATTAATGTACAAACTGACCAGAGTTAACGTTAACGCTATCACGTGCAAGAGCATAACTTCTAAACTCGGGCCAGTTCGTATGTTAACATCGTACACCTTTACTGTACGTTAAGTCGTTAAGGGCACGCAATCACAGGATCTGGATTCTGAAATTAGTATTTAACGTGATTTATTATGCATTTCGTAGTCAACATATATTTTTTAACTTTAGTATTCTATACTTGTAGCCGAAACTTCCCAAAAGATATGGCCACAATATTATATTAGAAAAAAAACATTTCGCAACGTTTTTTTTAATCTTTAGTAAAAAAACGTTGCGAAAACGTTTTTTTCACTATATTATATTAGAAAAAAACGTTTCGCAACGTTTTTTTTAATTCTTTAGCCGAATCCGAAACCCAAGTTCGAAACTAATGCCGAAATCAGAAATCCTGGCCGAAACTCCGAAACTATCTTTTATTATAGGCTGAAAGTCCGAAACTTACAAACCCTTTTTTAATATTTATTTTGTTACTAAAATATAACATACATTTATTTTTATTATATCAGATATTATTATTTAGGGTATTGCTAAATATCACCAGTGGTGGATTTATGATGTAATGCCGGTCAGTGTTTTATTCAGGCCAAAAGTGCATCATAATGCTGGTATGGTGACAATCACCGCTAGCAATTTTCTGTTATTTAAATTTATACATTATTAATGCTAAATTGTAAAAATTTAAATTACTATTTACTACTTATTTACTATAATAAAAAAGTTATAATTGTGAATTTTGAATTTCATTATCATCCACTTCTTTGGTTATGTCTCAGTATAAAATCTTCACGTTTTGGAGACAAAAAATTCCCATATTTTGCTAATAGGATGCCCTTTTTAAAGAACCAATCAACTTTTAATTAAAAAATTTAATTAAATCCTTAATAGGTTATGCCATTAGTGTTTATTATAGGAGAATAAGGGAAAGAAAATAAAGAAAGTTTGAGGTACTACGTTAAATCTGGATTTAAGATGTAGATCAGCTGATCTCTTTGTCTGATTATATTCCTATTTTTAGGTTTCGACATAGTTTCGGATTTCGGCCAGGGTTTCGGTTTCAGAAAACGGCCGAAAACCGAAACGAAAACTAGGCCGAAACTAGGGGCGTTTCGCCGTTTCGGCTACAAAGTATATAGTATTAGATATTTAATATAAAAGAATTATTCTAAATTTTTTAAATATTTACAATGCCGATCTTTTTTGGTCTGTACAACAATTTAATTTATAAATTCTCATTCATTTTGTTTCTTATTTCCAGAACTCCCTTTCTTTTAAAAATGACTTTACCTAATTTACCTTATGATTGTATTTACTATATTTTAAATCAATTTCAAAATGATCGTTCAACTTTATTAAATTGTTTATTAGTTGATAGATCATGGTGTGAAATCACGGTTCCTTTGCTATACGCAAATCCTTTTATAAGAATGGCTGAAAATAGTTATTCAATTATCTTAACTTTGATTTCATGCTTTGATAAAGAAGAATTATTATTATTAAAAAATCAATTAAAACTTAATAATATTAATTTTAATTTTATTAATAATATTAATATAAAATATAATAAACCATTATTTGAATATCCAAAATATTTGAAAATTTTTGATTTTAGTACAATGAATTTAATAATTATTAAATGGTTTGAAAGTTATTCAAAATTATCATTTACTCAACGTGATAATTTATCTAAAAATATTCTTCCATTAATTTTTCAAATAATTTTAAAAAAATGTACAAATATCAAACATTTTTATATTACAATTTCTGATATAAAATTTTTAAATATTAAAAATCTCACCTCAAATTTATCAAATTTAGATTCATTAACATTACAATTTCATGATACTAATATGACAAAAGAACTTCTTATCGATATGGAAAATATTTGTTTAAATTTGAAACGATTGGAAATTTCTATTTCTTATTATATTCAAAATAATTCTTACATTTTTAAAAAACTTTGTAAAGTTATTCAAAAACAAAAAAATCTTAAAGATTTCAAATTATCTTGTGATAATACTTTATTAAATAATATCTTGATATCTTTAGAATTTCAAAAATATTCTTTAGTTTATATCGAATTTGAACATATTAATTTTAAGAATATTTCTTTAAAGAATTTTATAAGTTTACATAATTTAAAATATTTAAAATTTCATTATTGTTGTGGATTATTATTAGATGAAATTGATATCCTAACTTTTGCATCATTTAAACTGGAAGAATTAATCCTTTCATGTAATGATTGGAATCATAATATTACAGCTTCAATAATCAAATATTTAGGTGAATCTTTACAAAGTTTATTATTATTTTCAGAAAATTTAACAATTTCAATTATGAAAAATTTATCAATTTATTGTTTAAATCTTAACACTTTAGACATTGAAACTAAATATTTAACTTTTCCTGATCTTTTTACAAATTATTTTAAAAATTTAAGAATAAGAATTTTACATATTAAATTTAATTATCATTATGAATTACGTGATTTGTTATTTACGAATTTAGCAATTAATTTACCTATTAATCTTAAAGAAATTACTATTCGTTCTCGTAGATATAAATATTTTAAGAAATTTTTAGAAAATTGTCATAATAATAATTTAGAAATAATTCATTTTAATTGTAATGTTGATTTAGAATTTCTTGAAACTATTTTAAATTTTATTGAAAGAACTAATAGTAAATTAAAATTATTAAGTATATTTAATATAGAAAATTGTTTTAAAAATAATAAGAAATCTTCTGAATTATTGGATCAAATTAATGCTAAAGGAGTAAAAATTGTAGATTTTGGTAGTATTTATAAATTTGAAGTTAAGTTTGTTACTTAATTCTTGGAGTTTTATATATATATATTTTTATTTATAAATTAGAAGTTAATTTTAATTTTGTTGTTTAATTCTTGGAATTTTAAAATATATTACGTTTAATTTATTATATTCATATACATTAAAATAATTTTTTATTAACCATTGAATTTGATTACCTCGGTTTTATATGATTTTTTATAGTGTGCTTATTTTTCTTATTTTTCTACGATATTCTATTTATTCTATTAAGTCATTTTATTTAATAATACCTCGCTATCCCGATCTCCTGTATTGAGAATTGATTTGTAAATTAATTTTGTTTCGTGCCATAATAGATTAATAGAATCACGACGAGACGTCGAGACGTCGAGACGAGCACCCACTGACCCACCTTATTATTGCATTTGAGAAAAACTAGTCCCAAGTTAATCAACTATGTCACACCTTAAAAAAAATTGTGCGAGATGTTTACTGCTTAAAGGTAAAAAAAAAATTTCAAAAACTACCTCCTATTCATTCATATTTTATAAAATTATGCGAAATATAAGGACATTTTGGCCCTTCATGACAATATATTCTTCATATCAATAGTAACTACTCCTCAACTAGTTTATACATGTTCCGCTGCGCACTCGCTGCGCAAACCTCAGATGATCCTTATTTCGGAACTGACCATTCATTTCGTTTATCCGAGCAAATTATGAAAATAATTACGATCAAAAATTAATGTTTTATTTAATGATGAATATATTTACTAGTAAATATCTCATCTAAAAAATGAGCGATGTTTAGATAGGCTGTTATTATTTACTATGTATTATGGATTAAACATAAGATATAAAATTAGTAAAACAATAATCATCGTATAATTAATATATTTAATAATTTATTAAGGGACCAGAAAATATAATTCCGGATCAGGAAACAATTAACAATTATAAAGATATAAGCGGAAGTATGGATTCAGAAAACAAGAAAAGGCTATCGAACCGGAATCCGATGAATTGAACGGGAACAAAAAGCGTAACTCAGGGGGAAGAGAAGATACCGTCTAGCACCGCATATAGTGTCCCGGGTCTTATACAAAAAACCTGGTCAAAAATTGAATAATACCCGGGGTATTTTGTTAGAACTATATTTTATACCTTATATAATACTCGGTATTTTACCAGAATTAAGTTTGTTACCAGAATTAGGGGGTACTAAACAAGAGTAAAAATTTTGTACCTAGTAAAATAACTGGGTCTTATAAATAAAATGGGGTACGCTCAAAGGGGAATACTATACAGTGCTAGACGGTAGAGTCGGTAGACGGTAGTGACAGCGAAAGTGATTAACTCATACATTCAAACATAAGCAAATTTTAGAAGAAATAGAGTTAGTTTTTCATTTTAGTTAAAAAGGGGTATAAGATCACATAGCCAAATAAGAAATTTTCGCAATATATTTCTACTATATTTTTCTGATACATTGATAGCAAATTAGTCATTAAATATCGGTATAGAATTAGTAAGTAGGTGTAGGCACCTGCTTCCGTTTTAAACAGGTTAGTAGATAGAATAATCTAATGTATTTTAGTGTTATGTCTACTGTAGTCTTTTGTATAAATGTATTTAGGTTATTAAATCTATTATAATAAAGAGAACTGCGCGTTACTAATAAAAAAAAAATACATATATATTTAATAATTTACAATATGGAATGGTTTTTATATTAAGAAGAGGACGTCAATAATTTTAACTCCTTATTATCCAATACTTTTTTCATTCTAATTATAATTTAAAGTTCTTAAACTTTTGTTATCGTTTAATTCACTCATATCATAATCTAAAGAGCCAATGAAATGAATTTGAATATTAATAAATCATTAAATATTTCGGAATCATCAAAACTGCGCCATAAATAACAACCAAAGAAATTCTTCGATCACGTGACAATTTTTACCCGATCATTTCCTAAAATATCACTAAAAATATCTTTTTTTTTTTTAAATAAAACAAGATATAAATTTATACATATTTTAAATTATATATTATCCGTAATTTTACATGCAATCTTTTGGCTTTTTATATATATTTTTTCAAAAATGGCATTTAAAACCCTCTTTGGTATTCTAAGTAAACTTGCTCTGAAGGCAAAAATACATACATTTTGTAAATTTTAGGGCCGTATAAAGTATATGTTAAGTTTTATTTGGAATATAAAAAAAATATTTTTTTTATTGCCAAAATTTATCAGCTATTTTAGGAAATGATTGGTAAATTTTGTTACAACTTCCTGGGTGACGAAATCACGAGCATCCTTATCCTGGGCCACGGTCCAGATGCTTATCCTGGACCAGCAAATCTAATTGGATGAGATTGTTTTGTGTAACATTTGTCTTGGAAAAAAAAACAATTCGCGTTTTTTTTAAAAAAAAAGTTACAAAATGCCTTTTTTTAAAGCATTTAATACTACCGTTTTAAAGTAATATGTTATTTAAAATTTGTATTTTGGTATGCATTTTATTAAACTTTATTAATAAATAAGTAAAATTGCGTATATAACTTTATAAAAAAGGTCTTTACATTATTTTTTACTGTAATTTTATTATTAAAATTATTTTAACGTTAATATCAAAACAAAAGTACAAAGTAATAGTATTATATTAGCTTTAAAAGTTTTGTTATAAATATGTAATTTACAACCTTTTTTGAACAACTTTGCTTAACCCCAAAACTTAAAAAAAAAACACTTGATTTCCAGAATAATATCAATATATCATAAAACTCTTCAAAAAGAAAATAAAAAACATTTAGTATTATCATAAAACTACAATAAATACAATTAAAATTAAAATATACAAACTGAAATGAAATATGAAATACTAAGTACTAACATACCACAAAAAAGAATAGAGAAAGAGTGAAAGATAGGAAGAGTAAGAGATAAAATAAATTATGCCGGAGTTATGTAATAAAAGGGCTGATTAGCCAATCAAAAGTTGACTGGTCCAGAATAAGCATCTGGACCGGTGGATCAGGTTAAGGATGGCCCGAAATCACATGTTCATTGAATCACGTGCTTGGGCTTTTTTTGACGGTTACACTGTGGTCTCTACAAAGCTAGTAAAATTTCCATTTTCGCCTTGTACAAAAGTTACAAAATAAATAATATTAACACATGGTACATCTGTACTACAACCGTGGATGTAAATATTGGTCATATGAAACTAAACAATATAAGAGATAAAAATAAAATGAAAAGCATTTTTGGCTTCGGCTAACATGATCCTTATTTCTAATTTTTTTTTTTATTTAATCACTTTTTTATATTCTTTAATTATTTTACTGAATTCATTTGAAATTAAAAAAGTTTCAATGGATTTTTTTATCAAAGGTATCAATAAGTTAATTAAACCATCACATGAAATATGTGGATGTAAAAGATACAATTATATATGTTTTGCAATACGTTTTAAGCAAAATTTTAAAAATTGGACTAGTGGTAATGATGATATTGATAAATTTATTCAAAATGCCCAACTATCAGCTCATGAAAATGTAAAAGAAGTACTAGAATGGATACTTTATGATAGGTTTTATGATATTGAATATATTGCAAACAAGAAAGTATATAAAGCAAATTGGATTGATGGAAATTTAAGTGTTTGGGAGGACTATCGGAAAAGAAATAATAATATAATTGTGACTTTAGAAGAATTAAATGATCCAAAAATTATTACATTGGAATTTATGAATGAGGTACTAATTAATTATTTATTAGTTAAATTTGAAATTTTTAATTTTATTAACATATCGATATTATATTTATAGATTAAAATAGATCATGAATTGTATGGAGTAACTCAAAATCCCGAAACAAAATGTTATATGATGGTTTTAAATGATAAATGTAAAAATTGTGAATATTTATGTAATTCAATTCATTTTCAGCAGAATTTTAAAAATTGGACTAGTGGAAATAATGATATTGACAATTTTATTCAATATACTCAGCTATCTGCTCATGGAAATGCGGAAGAAGCATTAGAATGGATACCTTATGATAAATTTAATAATATTGAAAATATATTTGGTAAAACATATAGAGCTAATTGGATTGATGGAAAAATAAGTTATTGGAATTATAGTAGACGAAATTGGTGGAGAAATAAAAATATGATTGTATTTTTGAAGGGATTAGATAGTCCAAAAGATTTTACATCTGAATTTATGAATGAGGTAATTAATTTATTATTATGAAAATTTAAAAAAATCTAATTGCACTAATATATTATATTTTGCAGTTTAAAATAGATCATAACTTTTGTGGAATTACTCAAAATCCAGAAACAAAAAATTATGTAATGGTTTTGAATTATAAATGTAGAAAATGTAATGATATATGCAATGCAATTCATTTCCAACAAAATTTTAAAAATTGGACTAGTGGTAATGATGACGTTGATAAATTTATTCAAGATACTCAGCTATCTGCTCATATTGATTATGAAGTATTTGAAAATGCATTAGAATGGATACCTTTTGATAGATTTAATAATATTGAAAAAAGCAGATTTGACGAAGCATATAAAGCAAATTGGATTGATGGACATATTTATAAATGGAATGATAAAAATCAAAATTGGGAAAGAAAAAAACAAAATATGATTGTAACTCTAAAAATATTAAATAATTCGAAAAATATTGTATTAGAATTTATGAATGAGGTATAATCAAACTATTATTTAATGAAATTAAAAATTTTAATTTCTACTAATGCATTATTTTGTAGATCAACAAATCTAATGGAATCACTCAAAATCCAGAAACAAAAAATTATATGATGGTTTTAAATGATGAATGTAAAAAATGTAAATATACGTGTAATGCAATACGTTTTCAGCAAAATTTTAAAGATTGGACTAGTGACAATGATGATATTGATAAATTTATTCAAAATGCCCAACTATCAGCTCATAAAAATGTAAAAGAAGCACTTGAATGGATACCCTATGATAGATTTTATGATATTGAATATATTGCAAACAAGAAAGTATATAAATCAAATTGGATTGATGGAAATATAAGTGTTTGGGGTGGTTGGGACTATAGAAAACAAGATTGGGAAAGAAATAATAATATAGTAATTGTGACTTTGAAAGAATTAAATGATCCAAAAATTATTACATTAGAATTTATGAATGAGGTAATTAATTACTTATTAGTTAAATTTTGAAATTTTTAATTTTATTAACATATTATATTTATAGATTAAAATAGATCATGAATTTTATGGAATAACTCAAAATCCTGAAACAAAATGTTATATGATGGTTTTAAATGATAAATGTAAAAATTGTAAATATATATGTAATTCAATTCATTTTCAGCAGAATTTTAAAAATTGGACTAGTGGAAACAATGATATTGACAATTTTATTCAAGATACTCGGCTATCTGCTCATAAAAATGTGAAAAAAGCATTAGAATGGATGCCTTATAATAGATTTAGTAATATTTCAAAGAACAATAAAGCAAAATGGATTGATGGATGTATTTCTGAATGGAATAGCAAAAGTCGAAATTGGAAAAGAGTAAATCAAAATATGATTGTAACTTTTAAAGAATTAGATAATTCGAAAAATATTACATTAGAACTTACGAAAATGGTATAATTAATTTATTATTCAATAATATTTTTAAAATTTTAATTTTGCTAATGTATTATATTTGTAGATCGGTAGATTATACGGAATAACTCAAAATCCGGGAACAAAAAATTATATGATGGTTTTAAATGATAAGTGTAGAATATGTGATTATATATGTAACACAATTCATTTTCAACAAAATTTTGAAAATTGGACCAGTGGTAATGATGATATTGATAAACTTATTCGAGATACTCAGCTATTAGTTCATAATAATAACCATGCTGTTTTCAAAATAGTATTAGAATGGATACCTTATGATAGATTTTATGATATTAAATATATTGCAAAAGGTGGATTTGGCAAAGTTTATAGAGCAAGTTGGATTGATGGATACATAATCAGTTGGAAAGATAATTGTTGGAATAGATATAATAAAAACATGTTTGTAGCTCTGAAAAGTTTAGATAATTCAAAAAATGTAACTTTAGAATTTATGAATGAGGTATGATTTACAGTATTTATTTTGATTTTTTATAATTATTATTAATATATTTTTAATTTTATTTAATGTAGGTTACATTACATAATAAAGGAAAAATGAACAATGCTTTTATTATTGGATTTTATGGAATAACTCAGGATCCAGAAACAAAAAATTATATGATGGTTTTAGATTATGCGGAAGATGGAAGTTTGCGAAATTATTTAGATAAAGAATATAACAAATTAAAATGGAATAAAAAGATCGATTATATATATGATATTATAATTGGACTTGAGCATATTCATGAAAAGGAATTAATTCATCGAGATTTGCATATTGGAAATATATTAAAGCTTAAATATGATACTACTATTACTGATTTAGGATTATGTAAACCCGCAAATTATATTGAATCAGAAAATGCAAAAAATAACGTATATGGTGTTTTACCTTATATAGCTCCTGAAATTTTAAGAGGACAAAATTATACGAAGGCTGCTGATATTTATAGTTTTGGTATAATTATGTATGAAGTAATTTCTGGACTACCACCATATTATGATTTAAGCCATGATAGAAATTTAGCAATAAAAATTTGTAAAGGACTTAGACCAAGGTTTAATATTAAGGTACCTCAATTAATTGTATATTTAATTAAGAGATGTTTAGATGCAGATCCATTAAATCGACCGATAGCAAGAGAAGTTAAAGATATCATAAACAAATGGAGATGTAAACCAGAAGAATTGCAAGCGCAAATTAAAGAAGCAGATATAAACAACGATTCATTAAATAACAGCATTCCTTCTACCAGTTTAGGATTATCATATAAAACACATTCGGAAGCTATTTATACAAGTAGATTACTCGATCTTAATAATCTTCCTGAACCAAAAAATTCTGATGATTATTATGAACAAAATGATAATATTATAAGCATGAAATTTTCAGGTATTAATGATAATTTTGTTATTTTTGAAAAACATGATAAAGCAATTTTGAAGATAATAATAAAATTTTTTATTTTATTAAATAGAATCTTTACAAATTGATATTTCTCAATTGAATATTAATTTACGCGATTGATGAATAATATTGGTTTTTTTTATGATTTAATATTATTTTATTGTATTTTTCTAGGAATTTAATAGTAGAAAAAATGGTTAGACAAAAACCATAATTTAGGGATAATTAACAACTAAATTTTAGTTGGCGTTACCAGTGGTATGATATAATAATTTTATATAAACGTTATTTTTCAAAAATTTATTTTTATATAATATTTAACGCTTGCTTTTCTTAAGTGTATTAGTATTTTATTTTTATATTTTTATATTTATTTATTTATTTGATTATTCTATAAATTTTATTCGAAAGTTAAAACTTATTGATGTAAATTAAAACGTGATTTGAATGTATTTAACCAAAATCTTTTTTTTTAAAAAAAATTATCTTATCTCGTATTTTGTATAATTTATTATCAAGCAATAATGGGTATAAAAATATAAATTATTAATATAAAAAAAATGCATCCTAACAATAACAACAAAGAGTTAAAGATAGTGCGCGCCATACGGTTTAATAAAAAAGCTTCGCTAATTATTTAAATAAACATGCGATCCAATATTTATTTTATTTCAAAGAGGAGTAACCAATGACAAGAAACGTAATAGAAGTGAACAACTACAAGTAGCGAAAAACTAATCTATTATTAATGGTACTGTGGTTATTAATCCCATAAATACAGGACCTCACCCTCCGATCGAGAGAAACTACTCTAACAGTAAAACTACGCTACTGATAAAGAAAAGAGCCTTATAAAAATATATGAGCTGTAAAAGATAAGGTGAACATGCGATCCAATATAATATCACGTCATTTTTATTATAAATATGTTATAAACGATTAAACGTTTCTAAAACTTATTTAAGCTGACATTCAACATAAAAATTCTTTCTCATTTTTACGTGAATACAGTATAAAATGTCAATTCCTCTGATAATTTGTTAAAATAAAAGATTTATCTTGTTAACAATTTATTATTAATAAATGTATATACAGTAAACCTACCAACCACTACCGTCACTACTTGTAATATTTCGGTAGTATTTGCTTATACTATATATTTTATAAAAGTAAACTAGAATTGATATCACATAGTGTTGGTTGCCGTAAGTAATAATTACGACATTTCGGATTACAACCATTTACAACTCCATATGTCGTAAATATTACAACCTTACTACTTTACGTAACTTATATATCAAATATCGGTTTACAATCGTTGAAATTAGGTTATAACTATAGTTGCAACCCGGTTGCAATATTACGGCAGCCAACTTTAATATCACGTATAGGAATTAACTCGAGTCAATTAAAACTCATAAATCGAGTGCTACTTTTTTGTACCTGTCGATCCGTTCTCCTCTTCCCTTTCTTGTTCTAGTTTCTGTTTCGCCATATTCATTTCTTTGTTTAAAGATTCTAACTCTTTAACATTCATTCTTTTTGCTGCGCCTCCCGCAACTATCGTCGAAGTTTTACATTACTATGAGTTGATTAGATCACAAATTTCATCTAGTATTATTATAGTACCATCATCATCAATATCCTGTATGATACAAGGGTTTAAAGATATGATTACTGACATACTGCTGCACAAACGATCTATGAAAAAATTACAAAAGATATAGATAAAGCTATTTATTGGTATGAAAAATCTGCCCAACAAGGTGATCAAGATGTACAATATGAATTGGAAAAACTTAAGAATCAATAATTTATAAGAAAATTCAATTTTTTATTAAAATTGTCATTTGGATTGTTTTTTCATTATCTTCTTTTTTAATTTTACATTTTAACCTATAACTTGGTCTGATTTGGTTTTTGACTTCATTTTCAACTTTTTTATCTTCAAAATATACATGTGCTGTTTCTAGTGCATTTAAAATAGTGGCTAAACACTATATTACTTAAATTATGTATAATTCTATTAAAGTACTAAATTTTTGTCAATATTATTTTTTTAAAATGCAAACATTATTACCTTTTTTTGACATTTAATGTAAGCAAACGAAGTACCTAAGCAGATTATACATCGACATTAACATTGTTTAAATTAAACTTAAGTATATCTAACGTACCTTCTTATCCGAAACAAAGCAGCCGCACTAATTCCTCATCATTGATCCATTACACACTAGTATTGTTTCTAGCGCAGATTTATTACTAAATCCCTATGAAAAGTAAAATGAAATTATTTCCAATATTTATTTGAATACTAAGATTAGTTACACGCGCATAATAATTTTTTATTTTCTACTTGTAAATATTTTAAATTAATTTACAACTTGGTAAACTAAAAATCTGCTAAACAATATTTTTCACAGATGAGTTACTAAAAATTTATTTTACCTTGTTGATAATGTTATTAATATTAAAATTATATTATTTTTTAATAAGTATTCTCATGTCATTACTGCGGTACTGCGGTTGATGGACAAATTTTTTGTTTGGTGGTACATAAATTGGAGTTATTTTCGTTACCGTATACGATAAAACCTTTACAACTTTTTCCATTCAATTTTTTTCTGTCAATATTATTATTAAACGTCTAATAATAAGCAAATGCAAAATACCGAAAATACGAATGAATAGGTTAATTGGATTGAAGAAGCTGTTGATGAAAGAACATTTAAATTATTATGAATATAGCCAATTTACTACCATTCAAGAAATTCGTTCTGGAGGTTTCGGAAAGTGTACCGTGCAAATTGGAAAAATACAAAAAATGAATTAGCATTAAAAACTTTTTTTAATCTTAATAGTGTCACAAAGAACTTGTTCGTGATAATATATAATTTTTTTTACGATTTTTTTTTTTTAGTCTGCATTTATTTATTTTAATATTTGAATTTATTTAGTTAAAATTCAACGTAAAGTTGATTTTCATGATAATGTAATTAGTTGCCATGGAATAACAAAACTTGAATCAGGTGTAAAGAATATAATATTCCAAATTTTATTCATAAAATTACATCTCATTAATTACTTCTTTTTTTTTTTTTTTTTAGAAAATCAAATTAACAATAATTATATGATAGTAATAGAATACGCTGACGGTGGTAGTCTTCGAAACTATTTAGAAAAAAACTTTAATAAACTCACTTGGGACGACAAATTCAATATGACTTACCAATTAGGCTTACGCTTGGATCATCCATCGTGACTTGGTAATTTATTTATTATTATTTAATCGTTGCTCGTAATACTGTAGTATTTGCATTTATTCATTTAATATATGTTTTTTAATAGCATTCTGGCAATATATTAGTTCATCAAAATACGATCAAATTGGCAGATTTTGGTCTATCAAAAAGAATTGAAGCTTGGAGCATCATCCAATTTTCAATTCAAATTATTTGGGATGGTTCCCTATGTTGATCCTAAAAGCTTTAGCAGACGAAGAAATAATAATAACCTAATGTATACATTAAATGACAAAAGTGATGTTTACAGTGTTGGTGTATTATAATGGGAAGTATCTAGCGGACGACCCCCTTTTTATGCTGAAGGTGAACATTATGATATTGGTTTAATTTATAACATTTCACAAGGTCGTAGAGAAATAGTTGTTCCTGATACACCTGATGAATATGTAAAAACTTTTATACTGTTAAGTAAAATTTTTAAATTTATTGTGACTTAAATATTATTCTAATTAATAAATTGTATTTATATTTTAGAATGTTGGGATGGTGAACCAGATAATCGTCCTACCATATATCGAGTAGTTGATTTCTTAAAAGCAATAATTACAAAAACAGATATAATAATGGAAAATCCTCAATTATTGAATGAGCAAGAACTTAATGAGATCCCTTTAAGTACCAATAATTTAGAATCACGAGGAGAATTATCCCAACTTATTCAAAATTTTGATAAAATGAATACAAAGGAAATTGATATATAATATAATAGTAGTAAATGAACAAAAGAAACTTCCAATTGAAAAAGATTTTAACAGGATAGTTGATGAAATAAATGATTTAGTTTTTAAACTATTAAGCAAAAAGCATTAGAATTATATCAAAAATCAGCAAATTTATGAAGCGAGGTAGCACAATATAATCTTGCTGTTAATATATGAAAATGGAATTGGAATTACAAAAGACATAGATAAAGTGATTTATTGGTATGAAAAATCGGCCAAACAAGGTATTAAAAGCACAAAATATATTAGAAATACTTCGAAAAAATCAATAATTTATAATAAATTATTTCTAAATAATTTTAATTATTAAAGTAAATCGTATACTACATTATTTTTTTTTTATTTACAAAATAGCGTAATATATAATAAATAAGTCTATTAAAATTTAATAATCTTTCTTATTGACAGTCAAGTTAACTGAATATATATATTTACTTGTATAGGAGGTATTTGGATCCGATTTTCTGCAAAAAGTTATTTTATTATTAGTGTAAGTTTCAATAATAAATTTTTAAACTTTACAAAGTTCACAGAAGATACTTAATATTTTTCATTATCAGATGTTTTACAAATATTTTTTGTTTCATTATTCACAGTTTTCAGATTGTTTCACATTCCTTCGCTTACAGAAAACAAGTTCATTTGAATGTTTTATACAAAGTTGATCATCTACTTGCGATTAAACTGTCAATAAAGAGACTTTAGAACTCTGTCTTGTACTTTTATAAGTGCTTCTAAAGTTAAAACTTTTCATTAGAATTTTATAGTCCATAAAAGGACACAAGACCCATTATTTCGCTTGCAAAAATCTCTTGTCATTGCTATTAAGAGAAATTTAATCTAAAGTCAGATCTGTTTAAACTAAACCGGATTTTAGTTAAGAAAGAGTTATTAACAGTTAAAGCCTTCATGATAATTTTGAATGTACATCGTTATGTAGTGTATCACTTTTATGGGCTTTTTCTCCTTATAAACGTTACATATATTCGTCGATCACATAAATTAAATCACATGACAAATCAATTAGCCAATAACACGAATCCTTGCCTAGAAGATAGACGTGCTTGATTAAATCGAATAAGAATCTAATTTCAATAAATTTTGATATGAACTAATTAAGAAAATTATTAGAGAATCAGTATTTAGAAAAAATCAAGATGAATCCTAGAATCCTAAATAAAATAATTTCTTGTATGCAATAATGGCTCAGGCTGATACATTAATGCAAAAAAGTCATATTTGACACATTAATCAATTGTAAATATGACATATTATTTCTATTATATAAATAATACTAATTTAAGTCATAATATACTATAACTTTAATATTCTATTAATTATATTAATAATAGCATTATAGCAGCATAAAAATTTTTTTTTATTACCAAATAATTACTGGTGATTACCAATAATTACCAAGGATGACTTGTGATTAAAAGAGAATACTAGTGATTTTTACAATTACAAATTATGAAAAGAAGGTACATGTAAAAGGATAAGATACAGAAAGTTTGTTTAAAACGTCTATTTATTTGCTTTTAATTATTTTTTAACTCATTAATAGAAATAATGTGTCAGGTTGACAGGTAAAAAAAACTGAAACATGGCCTTTTTGCATTAATGCATCAATCTGAGTCATTATTGCATTTCAAAACTGTTAATAATAGAAATAATGTGTCAAATTGATGAGTAAAAAAAACTGAAACATGGTCTTTTTTACATTAATGCATCAGTTTGAGTCATTATTGTATTTAAGAACATTTTTTTTTATTTAAAAGCCTCTCAATTCCTCTAAAAACAATTTTCTGAATTTAAATCAATTTCTGAAAACTTCACTATAAATTTAAAGTATATTTGATGTATATTAAATTCTCAATTCTCCAAGTAAATATTAAATTCTATAATTTATTAAATATTTAGTAAATCTCTAGATTTAATTATATAAGAGAAGCATAAAAGATTTTTGTGGATCGTCAACAAGTTATTGAAATATTAGAAAAAAGGTGTGTATTTTTTTATTTTGCAGGGATAGGGTAACTCTTAAGACGAGCTGTACGTGAGATAGACCAGTTGGTTGAGTTTGAACATATACCATAAATAGAGTCACATGTAAAGATGATTTTGGTTTGAACATGTGTCTTGATGACTATATGTAAAGATGGCAAGATTGCTGAGTTTATCAAACAATAAGCCTTGGCTTTTGAGAATTACTGTTTGGAGACACTTGGTAACCACTCCAAGCTCAATATTCAGGCACCCTAACTTTGTTGTTGGTAAAAGTCTGTTTATTCTGGAGGAGGAATTGACTATGTACCTTCTTTTACTACTAAATAAAGAGATTGCACACTGTTAACAATATTTTTCTCATTAGTGCTTAAAAGGGATCAGAGAATATTGGCAAGAGTAATCAAAGAATGAAAAAGAGAATTTAACACCTGAAACTAGATCACACAGAAGAAGCAAGTAATCTCTAATTATAATTATAACAAAATTTAAAGTATATTTAATAATATATTAAATATATTAAATATAATAAATTTTTACCAAAATTACATTTTTATTATATTTTATCTTTTTAGATTATCTATAACTAATTATAAAATTATATTTTAATTTTTTTTATCTGATGACTTATTTTATTTTATTGATATATTATAGCCAAACATTTGTTATAAATTTTTTTTTTAAAAAAAAAAAAAAAAAAATTTTAAAACAAACATAATAATAATCTATGATTTTTGTATAAGTATTATTAAATGTATAAATAAAAATAATAATTAGTAATTACAAAGTACTAAGTTATAATTAGTAATTACAAAGTACTAAGTTATAATTAAATAATTAAAATTTAAAAATCACTTTACTAAAAATGGCCAATTTTTTGAAATGATTTTGTAATAATTTTAAAATATTACAAAAATACATTTAATACATTAAAATGTTTTTATTATATTTTTGTTATTATTTTGTAATTATATTGTATCTAGGTCTATAAAAATAACTCAAAATAATATCACAATAATTTTTTAATATTTTTGTTATTATTTTATTATTATAATATAATTAACTTTGATATCATTTTAATATTTTAATCTCAAAAATACCTCAAATATATCTTGATATATTTTAAAAATTTTACAAAATAATTGCACAATTGTTTTGAAAGCCATTGTATCTAGATCTATAAAAATATTTCAAAAAATTGGCCATTTTTAGTAAAGGCATGTTAGGAAAAATTATTTAATAACTGAATTTTAAAGTAAGATATAATAAAATATGAGTGAAGAAACTTTACAGAAACTTTAAGTTTTCAAGTGATATCATTTTGATATTATTTCGATATCATTTCAATATAGATTTAATATTGATATGATATTGAAATAAAGTATTATCATTTCGATATTATTTTGATATTAAATTGATATCAAAATGATATCAAAATGATAATAGAAATGACATCGAAATAACATCTTTAAGTTTAATTTAAAGATGTCATTTCGATATCATTTGATATCAATTTAATATCAAAATAATATCGAAATGATAATACTTTATTTCAATATCGTATTAATATTAAATCTATATTGAAATGATATCGAAATGATACCGTTAAGATAAACTTAACGATATCGATTCTATATTGATTAAAAATGTTAAGTTTCTGTAAAGAATGTTTTTGTCTAAGTATTAGTGAGAAGATTTTGATTAAGTATTAAAAATGTTTAAAAAAATATATAATAATTTTAAAGTAAGGATATAATAATAATCTAAAAAACAAGTCACTGAAATTAATTGATATAGGAGGTTAAAAGTCAAAAGAAAGTTAAAAAATATAACTAATTATTCTAAAATATGATATTAATTTTTATAAAACAAAATATTCTATTTAATCTTAATATATCTATAATTAGTTGATTTTTCATCAATGGATCTCCATATTATTCGACGAAATCCTATTACTACAATAACAAACCCTATCAACTTATTAGGATTTGAATTAATTATCTTAATTCGTTCATCACATACTCCTGCAGAATATTTATTTGCCTTTCCTTTTGCAATTATTTTTGTATACCTTTACTATAAATGGGCAATTTTTTGAAATGATTTTGTAATAATTTTAAAATACTACAAAAATACATTTAATATATCAAAATGTTTTATTATATTTTTGCTATTATTTTGTAATTATATTGTATCTAGGTCTATAAAAATAACTCAAAATAATATCACAATAATTTTTTAATGTTTTTGTTATTATTTTATTATTATAATATAATTAACTTTGATATTATTTTAATATTTTAATCTCAAAAATACCTTAAATATATCTTGATATATTTTAAAAATTTTACAAAATAATTGCACAATTGTTTTGAAAGCCATTGTATCTAGGTCTATAAAAATATTTCAAAAAATTGGCCATTTTTAGTAAAGACCTTTCTAATTGTTTTGTTCCATCATTCAATACATCATTTATAGTTGTGTAAATATATTTATTAGTTTCTTTATCATAATATCTATATTGTCTTTTTAATAATGTATCCTCATCTTCTCTTTCAAGTATTTTATCTAATTCTTCCAATTCATTTGCATTAAAATCTTTTGCTTGTTTTCCATTAATATTGCTAATTAACCAAATTAGTGGAATATATTTTAATTCTAAATTAGCATAGCTTTCTCCTAGGATAAAAACATCAAGAAAACCAAATTTACCATTTCCCTTATTTACTGCAGTATTCATTATTAAGCAAAGTTCAGGAACACGATATCTTGATGGCAAAAGGAGTTCTACAGTTACTTGAAGAACTGATTCATTTGCTGAAGATAGTGATCTTCGTGACCTTGTTAATAATATTTCTTTTAGAAGTTTGGTAAAGTTGATGATATTGCCTGAAATGAGATCTTCATATGCCAAAGAAATATGAAGAATATCATCAGCTATTTTCATATGATCTCCATTTTGTTTTTGTCTCTTTTTAATGTCTAATAAATTAATATTTCAGTATATAAGTTAATAAGTTATGTAAACTAAAAAAAAATAAATAATACAATTTACTGATAATAGCAATGCAATTTAATGATAATAAGACTTACAAATAAATAAATTATCTGTATCATCATCATGGTTTCTTTTAATGTTTTCATGGTTTAATTGAAAAGTTTCGGGATTTTCATTTTTCTTTGACATATAATCTTCATTTTTGATTTGTTTAATTTTATTATTTGAATGAATAAGTTAGATCATATAAATATAATTTATAAATACAATTTAATGATGATATACATAATATATAATCAGCTTACCAATAAATAAATTATTTGTATCATCATCATAGTTTCTTTTAATGTTTTCATTAATTTCTTTGTGATTTATTTGCAAATTATTATTTTAATGAATAAGTTAATAAATAATATAAATATATGTAATTAATAATAATATGACTTACCAGTAAATAAATTATCAGTGCCATCATTATTTCTTTTATTATTTTTTTTTAGAAGTTTCAGGAAGATCTTTGGTAAGTATTTTATTTATTTTTTTTGAATATGATTTCTTTTCAGATACCAAATTCTCTTTTTCATATTTTTTGATTACTCCTTGCCAATATGCTTGTAATTCCTTTTTATATTTTAAACGTTCTATATTTAACTAAATGAAAGAAAAATATTATTAGCAGTGTGTAAATTTCTTTATTTAGTAGTAAAAGAAGGTACATAGTCAATTTCTCTTCCAGAACAAATAGACTTTTAGTAACAACAAAGTTAGGATGCCTGAATATTGAGCTTGGAGTGGTTACCAAGTGTCTTCAAACACTAATTCTCAGAAGCCAAGGCTTATTGTTTGATGAACTCAGCAATTTTGCTATCTTTACATATAGTCATTAAGGCACATATTCAAACTAAAATCATCTTTACATGTGACTCTATTATACTCAACCAACTGGTCTCTCTCATGTACAGCTCATCTTAAGAATTACCCTATTCTTGCAAAATAAAAAAATACACACCTTTTCTTTTAGTGTTTCAACAACTTGTTGATGATCCACAAAAATCTTTTCTGCTTCTCTTATATAATTACCAGCCCAAGCATTGTCAAGATTATTCCACTTGAGATTTGAAGTTACTGAAGCAACAATAACATCATAGTTTATATATAAGAATCTGCGATATAATTTATTGCTATGCTTTTTTAAATAAGAAATAAGAGCTAAAATCAAAGATTTAGTTAATAAAAAGTTAAATAAGAAAAAATTACTATAAGTTGAAATATTGTTCACAAACTTACTATCTTGGCCATGATATGTATTCATGTTAAAATTGATTTTAAGAAAAGAATTTTATAATTGAAATAGAATTTAATTAAATTTAAAAATTCGATATTTAATATATTAAATTCTCTAATTTATTAATATTTTTAAATTTAAGAATTTGATATCTAAATTAGAAGAATTTAATATTTAATTTGAAAGATTTCACATTTCACTTTTTAAAAGTTGAATTAAATTTATAGTGAATTTATTTAAATTCAGAAAATTGCTTCAAAAAATTGTTTTTAGAGAAATTGAGAGGCTTTTAAATAAAAAAATGTTCTTAAATACAATAATGACTCAAACTGAAAAAATGACCATGCTTCAGTTTTTTTTACTTGTCAATTTGACACATTATTTCTATTATTGACAGTTTTGTTAAATATGCAATAATGATTCAGATTGATGTATTAATGCAAAAAAAGGCCATGTTTTAGTTTTTTTTACCTGTCAAACTGACACATTATTTCTATTATTAACTTGAAAAATGAAAAGAGATGGAAAAAACAATATTTTATTAAAAAATTTATAATTAAAAGGAAAATAAATAGACATTTTAAGCAAACTTTTCATATAAGTTTATGTATCTTCTTTTCATGTTTTATAAATATAGAAATCACTAGTAATCTCTTTTAATCACAAGTCATTCTTGGTAATTATTGTTAGTTACCAGTAATCATAATAAAAAAGCTTATATGCTGACAAACAATAATTAATTTAATAACAAAATTTAATATAGTATCAAATTAAACCTTTATGAAGATGTTTAATTTCATATTTATAAGAGATTGAATTATTGCTCAATTTTAAATAAAATTCGTATAATTTTATTATGTAATTAGCAATCTTTAGTTTAATTTAAGTTAAAAACACTTTTTTTTCTCTAGAATTAAATTGAAATATTAAAAATAATTTTTAAAAGTTATCAAGTATCATGATGTATATTAGCAAAAAGGAATTAACATAGTGTTTTAGAATTAACATCACTTTATATGTAAAATCAAAATTGCAAAAATCAATTTCTTTAGTTAGTCATTACTAATTATATAAAGAACAAAAATTATTTAGGTGAGGTGTTATTAAGAAATTTAAGAAAATTCAAAGTTATCAGATTTAATTTAAAAACTGAAGGCATACTTAAAAATGTTCTAGATATAAATGATTTTCTGGATTAATTGCAATAAAGCAGCTAAGCATAATTCTAGTTTAAGTTGCATAGTCAGCTGGAAAGACTTTAATTTTTGACATGTTTTTTATAAGTTTTTTACTTCAAATTACTGGAGGTGATTATCACGTTGGCCAAAGATAAAAACATTTTTGATCTTATTAATAGAAAGTTTTTAAAATTTTAATAAAAGATATAATATTACTTATAACAGGATTTTCATATGCTAAAGCAATAAGAAGTGCATCATTAACAATCTGTCTATACATTAAATTATTCTTATTTTATTCTAAAATTTGAATTTGTTTTTTCTAAGACTTTTTTTAATTCTCTTGTTTGTCTATCTTGAAGAATAACATTTTTATTAAAAATACATTCTAATGCTTTATCTAAACTATATATTTCACTTTCAACATCATTATATTTATAACAATTGCAAAATATTAAATAAATATCATTTTCAAATTCTTCTAAACTTGTATATTAATTATTTTTTAATTTTAAATTTATAGTAAATAAGTCCATTGGATATTTTATAATCTTATTTTTAATATTTTTTTCAATATATTTATAGCATAAGATTTGTTTTCAAGTTCATGAAGTATATCATAATAAAAGGCAGTAATTTGAAGTTTCTTCTTAGGTAAAACTGATTGTAAAGTTTCAGAATGATTTTTAACAGGAATTTTAACTGTTTTTTTTTTTGAAGTAATACATCTGTTTGTGAAGTTTCAGCAAGTACTAGATTTTCCTTTTCATATTCCTTAATAATTTGTAAATCTGGTTGTAAAGTTTTAGAAAGACTTTTATAGAATCTTTACTACTTGTCTGCTTTTTTGGAAGTGATGTATTTGGTTGAGAAATTTCAGTAAGTATTAGATTCTTCTTAATAACTTCTTGCTTCTTTTTAGTTAAATCTGATTGTGAAGTTTCAGAAATATCATATTTTTTAATGATTTCTTGCCAGAATATTTGTAATTCTTTACATGTTGTAAATGCTTTATTTTTATTTATAATAAGAAGAAATTGTTAATAGTGCACAATTTTTTATTAAGGTATATAGCCAGTTCCTCCTCCAGAACAAGCAGACTTTACTAAACAACAAAGTTAGGATGCCTGAATTGAGAGCAAGAGCTGATTATCAAACTAACAAATCCAGTAATTCTTATTAAGTGACCACGACCAGTTTTAAGAGTTACCCACACTTTGCAAAATAAAAAATAAACGCACCTTATTCAATAAATAATAATCGCACCTTATTTTTTACTGCAACAAAAATATCTGGTTCAAATAAGTTTTTGGCTACATTTAAAAGCAGTTGTATGATTCATTGACACAAAAAAATCATTATCAAATATTCAGCTTTTGTCAGTCAAATTCATTATTACAAAAGATTATAAACTTTATATACAATTCATGTAAGAATGAATAAATATTGCTCACATTGCATATAATATATAACATTTATTCATATTAATCTAGAAAAAATAAGTATTATGATGTATTTAACATGATGCAATCCATGTAAGAATGAATAAATATGGCTCACATTGCAGAAATATAATCATAATTTAACATTCATCTGATAAAGTAAGATAATTTGTTAAAAGGAAAAAAGTTTTATCATGTTCACACTTTATTATCAATAAATGTCTATATAGTACAGAATTTACTTTTAATTAATTAATAATACGTCAGGGTCTAAGCCTAAGGGACCCACAACCTACTACCACCGTTATTGCTTGTAATATCTCAGTCTTTTATGTGAGATCAATTCTAGTTTAGCTTTTATATAAGTTAATTAAAATCATAAATTGAGTACTTTAAAATTTGATTAATAAATGAGTTGTTTAGATAAGTGATAATATAGTATTACAAATATCATCTAATATTATTGCAGGACTCCGGAAACTATATAAAGATTGTTTTAAAAAACTAAAAATTTATATAAAAAAGGAAAAAATTCATAATAAAATTGGTGTGACATTCCTTTATGTATTTAATTTAACTAAATATAGCAAGATCTTCAAAAAATTTTCCTTATAGCTTTACCTATTTTAACGGTAACCTGTCTATAGAGTTTCTGGAGGCTAGTATCATCATTAATATTCTGTATGATACAATATTTTAAATATATGATTACTAGACATTTATTAATAATGAGAGGAATTTTTTGTATTAAGGGTCAATTTAAGTAAAAGAATAACATTGTAACGGTAGATATCGAACTTGATTATTTAGAATGGAAAGGTCACATGATTATAAGTCATGTGATAATAAGTGATTAATGAAAATCAGATGGATTTAATTGAGGATGATCACCTTTATCTTATTGGTAGATCATTTTTTATCTCAATATAACCTTGCTAAGATGTATGATAATAGAATAGGAATTGAAGAAAATATAAATCAAGCAATTTATTGGTATAAAAAATCTGCTGAACAAGGAAATGATGATGCTAAAATTAAATTAAATAAACTAATAATAAATGAAATGTAAGATAATAAATATACTTTAAATTAAGTTCTTATTAATAAAACATTACAGATTTATATTATTTGAATGATTATACAAAAAATATGGCAAGTTAAATGTATAAAAGAATATTGGCAAGGTAATTTAATAGTAAATATTTTCACTGGGATTTCCAATTATAGTAAAATCATAGGTTCAATTCTGCTGATCAATGGAAATTAGAAGAATATAAAAGTAATACAAAAGGAAAAGAACATACAATAATAGATTGGAAAGATGACAAATTGAAAAATATAAAAATAACAAATAGAAAGGAGCATAAATAGTGTAAAGTGAATAACATAAAAGATAGATTATAAGAATAACACGTAAAATGGAAAGATAGCGAATTAAAAGAACATGTAAAATAAAAATACATAAAATAATATTAGAAAGATAAAAGAATATAAAATAACAAAAATAAAAAAGATGAAAGAAATAAGATAGTATATAAAAATAGCACCTAAAATAGCACATAAAATAACAGAAATAAGAAAGATGAAAAAAATAAGATAGCATATGAAATAGCATATAAAATAGTATATAAAATAAAAAGAAATAAAATTTATAAAAATATAAATAGGGGCGAAATTTGAGGTGAATTCAGTAGTTCAGGTTAACTCAAATTTAGAAATTAAAGAAGATTAAATAAAATTATCCTTTAATTCCTTTTACACATTTAATTAATTATTTTGATTCTTTTTTATACTATTTTCTTATGATGAAAAAGTATATTTATGTAAATATTAATTATTAAAAGTTATTTCAAATATACTTATAGTTCGCCTAAGTTTTAATTAATGTTTAAAATGAAAATAATAAGCTGAGAAATGAGAATAAATATACATTTTTGTAACAAGAATTAAAGCTGCCACCTGAAATTAGGAATTTTACCATTTGCCGAAACTGAAATGGTAAAATTAATTTAGGAAAAATACTTAATTCTGAAATACTGAAACTATTCTGAAATTCTGATTAGCTGTTATAATATCACATGACCAAAATTAAAATTTTTACCAAAATTATAACTGTATTTTAATACCATAATTCTGGCTCCATAGCGATCTTCCTAACTATAAAAAAAATTTTTACTTAAAATATATTTAAAATATATTTAATTTTCTTTAAAATATACTTAATTTTCTTATTTTATACTTAAAATATACTGAAAATTAAATTTTCACAAAATTTGAATTAAATTGTATTTAATATACACTTAAAATATATTTAATTTACATTTAAATTTTGCCCATTTCAGTATATTTTAAGGATATTTAAAATAAGAATATTTTAAGTATACTATTATATACTTCATCTGCAAATTGAATACGGCGTAATATTACGAAAATTTACGCCTGCGAAATACTCCGTAAATTTACATGACCTTCGAAAAATTACGCAACAGTAATATTTCGTAATTTCAACGCAATATTTCATAAGTTTACGCGTAATATTTTGTAGAATTACAATGTAATATTGCCATGTATGTAAATTTTATATTGTAGAATTTCTTAGATTTACGGTGCAATATTTCGAAACTTTTCGAAAGTGTAATATTTCATAATTTTACGTCGTGGGATTTTTGTAGGTTTACGGGTGCAATATTTTGAAACTTTTCGAAAGTGTAATATTTCATAATTTTACGTCGTAGGATTTTCGTAGGTTTACGGGTGCAATATTTCGAAACTTTTCGAAAGTGTAATATTTCATAATTTTACGTCGTAGGATTTTCGTAGGTTTACGGGTGCAATATTTCGAAACTTTTCGAAAATGTAATATTTCGTAATTTTACGTCGTAGGATTTCGTAGGTTTACGGTATAATATTTCGAAACTTTTCTGAAGGTATAATATTTCGTAATTTTACATCGCAGAATTTCGTAGGTTTACGGTATAATATTTTGAAACTTTTCTGAAAGTATAACATTTCGTAATTTTACATCGCAGAATTTCACAGGTTTACGGTACAATATTTCGAAACTTTTCCAAAATATTATTATTTCGCGAACTTTTTTCACAAATTCAAGTGATTAATATATGTAATTACAAAATAATATTTTTCACTGTAACTTACACGTAATATTTTATAAATTTATGTAATTTTTGTATTTTTATTCGAAATATAGTTACAATAAATAATTTGTATTTAAAACTATCATAATATTGCTTTTAATCTCGTCAATAGAATTTTTTTAATCTTATTTGTCGCTCATCTTCATTTATTTGACTTTCGTTCTTTGACTTTTTTTTTTTCAACTTCACTTCTATTTCATCTGTGATTAATATTTTGCTATATCTGATATTATAAAATAAAAGTCATTTGGATAACATTATTTGGTAATATCAAAAGGATGTGTTGTAAAGACAAATTGTTATTAAAACTTAACCTATAAACATAATTGTAATAAAGTCGTACGAACATTAACGAAATTATGAAGTACATACTTCAGTCCTTTTACACTGCTACGTTGATAGCATGCGTTAAATTCATTTTTGCATCAACGAATATTACAAAATCAAAAGTTAGACCAACAGTTATCATTATGCGTGATTATTAATATTTTTTATAAAAAAAAAAGTAAACTTACGAACATTAACGAAATTGTGAGGTACATACCTTCCACTCCTTCTACACTATTACGTTGAGAACATGCGTTAAATTCATCTCTACATCAAACAAACATTACAAGTTCAAAAAGTTGGACCAAACAGTTGTGATTATTATTAAAAAGTCGTAAACATACGAACATTAACGAAATTAAGGAATACATACCTT